AGACGGTTGTCATTAGGTTTCAGTGTCAACAGGCTTCGGGAGCAACGCGCCCAAGAGAAGGGGTTGGGGCAGATCGTGCCTCTCCCACAGCCCCCGCTCAGGGCTGCTCAGGCCGCAGAAGAAAATGATGCTGCTGTCACGTCTGGCTGGTTTTCTTAGTGACCCTGGGGCCCGTAAACACGGGAGCAGGCTCTCGTCCCACTTACATCAGCGCGAATCAGCCACGCCGGGATCACGGCTCTGCCCTCTCCGCAGATTTGAGTGTCTAGACGGGGCGCTGGGGCTTTTCCATCAGTGTAATCTCTTTTTTCTGTAAAAGTGAGCAGAATTGATGCTGTGTAGCGTGAGAATCCTGCGGCAGCTCATCTGGATCCACGTCCCACCCAGCCTGGAGGCGGCAGGTGTGGAGGATCACGACACCCGTCGGTGCCTCCAGGGTGAGGTTCTCCCTCACCTGACTTTCTCTTTAAATGCTAAAAGGCGAGACAGGATCCCTTTCCTGCAAAGGGTCTTGATTTTAACAGGATGTTCCTGGTAGCTGGCTCGAATGTTTTTGTCGCTTCCGAAGCCACGGCTGGGAATTAGGCGCCGAGCCCGACCGCGCTTCCATCGTGAGGCATCTTCCTCGTCTGATGCAATTAATTGTGACCTTTTGCAGGCAGGCTTGGAAGGAGGGGTGAGACCTTCCATCCCCGCAGCTGACATAGCTGGGGAAAAAAAAAAATACACCAACTTTTGGGAGCACAAGCCATCCCGTGGGCTGGAAATTTTTCTCCCTTTGTACTCGCAGAGTGTCACATCCAGAAGTCTGTGTTTTCCTGATGGTTTCTCCTTCCTTCGCTCCTTGACAGGGTGGCCAGATGCCTCCAAGGTCCCCTTGTTCCTCTGAAGAGCAGATGCAGGGTAGGGAAGCATCTCCCTGGTACACGAGGGACAGCCGGGACGAGGCTGATTCCAGCCTCCTGGCAGCAGACACCCGCTCGCTGTTCTAGGGGAGCTCTGGGGGGAAAAAAAAGGGCATTTCTAGCCCTGGAAACATCTCATCGGAAGGTGTTTTTTGTTCTCTCTCAACCCAAAAGCCCCTTCCCCTCCAAGTACACGAGTGACACGGAGCAGAACAGCAGAAGCTGGTGTTTAAACCCCTTTGCTGGGAAGTTAATGGGGATGCTCTGCGGTTACTGGTGTTTTCCAGAGCAGCCTTTCCCCCACCTCACAGGGGACCTCAGCACCGAGCTCCGCGGCCCCGCTCCGGGTTATTCTCCACATCGCCCTGTTGTCCTCACACCCTCCCGTAAGGACCCTGTGTGTTAATTACACGAGTTGCTTGCCTCGTCCTCTGCTCGGCGGCCGCTCGCCCGGAGATTTCCTCTGCCTCCAGTTCATAACCTCTGGTTCCTGCACTTTGCACAAGCTTCAATAACTCAGTAGCTCCTACTCCTTCTATTCCCTTCACAATCTTCTCCTCGCCACTGTGAGCTCCCCCTTTAATACTTTCTAAAGCATGCAGACCTACTTTTTTCTTTCCTTTTTTTTCTTTTTTTTCTTTTTCTCCCAGCCTTTCTATTTAAGTTCTCCGAGTCCCTGAGTCATTCCAGTCACTCCCCGCTGTGCCATTATCCGTCTCTGCAATGTCCTTTTTCATATTTAGGTGATCAAATCTGGGCACGCTGCTCCAGATGCACCCTTATCACTCGGTCCCTTATACCATATTAGAAACGTTTTCCTCCAACACGTGCTCAGTATTTGCTATTTATGCTTTCTGGGCTTGGTTCAGCCACGTGGCAGAGCAGTGGAGCCCGCTGGTACAGCCCCGGTGCTCAAATCCTCCCCTCCCTGCCCCCGTGAAATGTGGTTTTACTGGCTTTAATTATCCATGGGGGTCACATCAGGGAGATGTTCGTGCCGTGACATCTGGATTCAGCCCCGCTTTGGTGCTGTGCCATCAGAGCAGTCTCCTGCCTGAAGCCTTTGGTCCAGGAGCGTGTTTTAAGAGTCGTATTCTGGGCTTGAAGACTGGGAATCTGGGGGGTTTGGGGCTGTTTTCTTTGATGCTCTGGGACAAGTCACTTTCCCAGTCTCTGCAACCGGGACAGACCAGCCTCTCCTCCGGTCGTGGGACTCCGCAGAGCTTTGGCGTCAGGCTCAGCTGGTCCCGTCACATGGTGGGAAATGCTTTCTGCCCTGGCAGTGGGGACCCACCTTTTGTGGCGGGTCTGGTCTCCGAGCTGGTTTTTGGGATGGGAAATGCCATTCTGAGGTGGCAAAGATGGAAACATTTCATTCTGGAAATGCTGCCGCGACGTTTTCCGGAAAACCAACGTGCAAGTTTAGTGGTCCCAGCCTCAGCATCGTTTGCCAACAGCCTCCTCAGCTCAAACCCACAGCTTGCAGCAAACGGATCATGTCCAGAAAAAAAAAAGGGAAAAAGAGATTTTTCTGGCTCAGGTTCCCTTCGCTTTCCACAGCAGACTGGGATCGCAGGCTCTGCCTTCGCAACCGCAGAGCTCGAGGGGACGATGCGAGACCGGAGTGATCACCCTGCAGGAGTTTGGGATCTTCTCTGAGCTCCCGGCAGCGCGGGGTGGAGGCAAATGTTTGCTCCCTGCTCTCCTCCCCTCCCAGTTCCTGCTCTGGGCCGAGCAGTCGGTGCCGTTTGCTCGCTGAGCGAGCCCTTCTCCATCAGCTGCAACCCCCTGCTTGGCTTCTTTAATTAATAAACAAACTTGGCTGTCACCTTCCCCAGCAGCATCCTCCCAGAGGCCCCGTGCAAATACCGATGTTAATGAACTCTTTTCCTCTTCCACGGCTGCTGGCCTGGCTGGAGGGGGACACTTGCCCACGGAGCTGGTGCCACATGTCCCCTCCTTGACCAAGTTACGGATGTCCACCTCGAGGACAGCTTGATTTGAGCCCAAGGGGGAGATGACGGGCTTGGGAGAGAGTGAAGGAACCTTCGTGGTCTGTAGTAAACAGCTTTTCCCAAAACAGAAGCATTTATCGATGCATTTATGTTTATTTACTGATAGATGTTGCATTTATTTCTTGACCAGCCCCTTTTTCTTGCAGCCCCTCTTTGGCTTCCGCCTTATAATCGAGACGCAAAACGAGCAGCTCCCACATTTCCTTCCTTTCCCCACCAAACCTCAGCCCCTCTCCTCCTTCAACCCATCCCACCACCCCAATATTTCCCCGTGCAATTCCCTGTCGCCCTGAATTCTCTTTTTTTTTGGTTTTTTTTTAAAACCTCCAGGAGATGTCCAGCGAGATTACGCTAATTACTACCAAGGCGCGTGGGACTGCAGCGGCGAGCATCCCGACGAGCTCTCCTTCCACCGTGGCGACCTCATCTACATCCTGAGCAAGGTAAGAGCATCCCACCAAGAAAATAGAGGGGAAAAAAAATATAATCGAGTTAGCAGAACGGGGGGAGCAGGATGCCGGGGGTCCGGTTCTCGCGTCTGCGCGGACCCCCGGCATCCCGCTCCCCCGTTCCGTGACGGTTCACATTTGGAATGGCCCCAAAGCAAGATTCTTTTTTTCTTTTTAATTGTTTTTTTCTTTTTTTTCCTATGGTAATGGAGCCTGTACGTGCTGTTGCTCAGGTATTACGGGGGTAATTGAGTTGCTCAGCCAGGTGTGACCTGCAAGCACGCACAGGTGAATAAATTAAAGCAGATCCACGGGGATGAGGGCGGGAGCCACCGGTGGCTGTGACCCTGTTTGTCCCCGCAGGGCTTTAACCTGGCTCCCAACCAGTCCCCACTGGACTTTGGTGGCCCTGACCAGCAGCAATGAGCTGGAAGGAGGAGGAGGGGGTTCATTTTATGGGTGATTTTTTGTGTGATGTGGCAGAAAGGGACCTGGGGACTCTAATTGACAAGGCAGCGGTGTGCCCAGGTGGCCAAGAAAGCCAACACCATCCTGGCTTTTATTAGAAATAGTGCGGCCAGCAGCAGTGGGGAGGGGATTGTCCCCCTGTCCTCGGCACCAGTGTTGTGTCCAGTTTGGGGCACCTCAATCCAAAAGAGATCTCGAGGGGCTGGAGCGAGTGCAAAGGGAATAAATCTTAGGAGGAATGATGGAAGGAGCTGGGGCTGTTGAGTTTGAAGAAGAGGAGGCTGAGAGGAGACCTCATCACCCTCTGCAACTTCTTCAGTATGAGGGTGGCAGAACTGTGAAATAAATTGTCCAGACAGTTGTGGCTGCTCCCTCCCTTGAGGTGTTCAAGGCCAGGTTGGATGAGGTTTTGAGCAACGTGGTGTAGTGGAGAGGCGTCCCTACCCATGGCAGGGAGGTTGGGTTAGATGATCTCTCAGGTCCCTTCCAACCTAAGCCATTCTGTCGTTCTGTGAACTACCTGGAAGGACGTTGTAGGTTGGTGCTGGTCTCTTCTCACGGGTAATTAGTGGTAAAACAAGAGGGAATGGCTTCAAGCTGCAACAGGGCAGGGTTAGACTGGACATGAGGAAAAATGCTTCACATCAAGAGCAGACAGCCATTGGCACAGGCTGCTCACGGAGGTGGCTGGTGAGTCCCCATCCCTGGAGGGGTTTAAAGGTCATTTAGATGTGGGGTTGGGGGAGATGAGGGGTGGGCTTTGTAGAATAGTTAGTGGTTGGACTCCATGATCCCAGGGGGCTTTTCCAAACTGAATGATCCAGTGATTCTATGATTCCGTGATTTTGCACCCCAATATGGCACGAGAACTTCTCGGAGGGCTGTGCTTTGCTTTGCAAAGCTTTTTGCCCCCCAAGAACAGGAGGTAGGTCAAGGGGAACCCAAAGCAAGGAAGGGTCGTGGGTGCAGCTGCGATAGCTACCGACCTTTGGAGCACCTCAGGCTTGTTCCGACCACGTTTTGTAGCCAAGAAAAAGAACTCAGGTTAGTTTGGCATCCTGATAGCAGCCATGGGATAGCCCCAGCATGGACACGAGTGACC